GTTTAATTATCTATCTATCTATCTATCTATCTATCTATCTATCATATGTCTGTCTGTCTGTCTGTCTGTCTGTCTCTGTCTGTCCGGCCAGCCGTCTATATCATTCGTTCTATCATTCTATCGTTCTCTTATTCTATCCATCCATCCATCCATCTGTTCATCTATATATCGTTCTCTCATTCCATCTATCATTCTATATATCTACCATTCTATCGTTCTATCGTGTGTGAGTCTGTATATAAAAGAAAAAAGAATGATAGAGCGAGTGACTGTGAGAAATGGCCATTGGAAGGGTTAGTATGATAAAAAGTATGAAAAGTTTGACCTTTTAACAACTTAATAACATGACAGAGGACCAGCAGATTACTGGAGGGCAGAGCAGGGGAGCGAAAGAGCGATCATCCTTCACTTTCAGCTCTCGTTCTTCATCCATCTGTAATCCCCTTGTGCGATCTCTCTCTCCGCCCCACCGGCTCCAGGGTCCCTCACGAGCCTGTCCAATCCCGCTGAATCCTGGGAGGTCAGAGGCTGTCAGATCCTCGGCATGAGTGGCCTTCATCACAGATCTCACTCATCATGTGTTACAGCCTCGACACGGAAACAATCACCGCACGTGAGGTGAGCTTCATACTGTATTGTACAGTATGTATGAATCTACAATCTGAGGCCACAATGTTAGCTACATCTTTATAATATTGTATACAAACCAGCACATTTTCTTTAAACCAGATATAGTGAAGTTTCCACTAATCAGAATAAGCATAAACTGAACGACACAGTTAGATTTTGGCCCATTACCCCAAATTCGCCTGCCATGTAAACATCTTACATGGCTGCTTTATTAAGTGCACATGTCTAGCTATGTGACAGGAAACCTGATTTTTTTTTTTTTTTGTGAATATACAGTAATTTTAATAAGCTGAATTTTGAGTGTTATCAGTGTATTGGTTTGCATGTAAACATATTTAATGATTTTGGAGCTACATTTTGAAACTGTATATATATATATATATATATATATATGCATACTGCATATGTGTGTGTGTGTGTTTGTGCATTTATTTATTTAATTAATTAATATATATATATTTTTTTAGATACTCAAGCACCTTTACAACACCTATCATTTAACAAAGCCAATGGTAATTGAATAAGCTATGAACTAATTTATATTTTATTTCAATTCAATGAAAATGTTTTCAGATTTAGCGGTAAATTATAAATGATGACAGAAATGTTGTTTTGGTTGAGCTGTTGCTTTAAAGAAATAAAACCAAACCATCTGTCAACCTTATTCCAACATACTGAATATGAAACCCATTTCTAAAGCATTAGCTGTTATTTTCTTGTCTATCTTGATGGGTCGGACAACCCTCAATCCTCAGTTCAAAACTTATTTGGCCTTAGAACCACTTTCTCTTAAAAATGAAAGCAATCATCACGCTGGTCAGGCTTTTAGCTTTCTGAAAGAGAACTGCGAGCTCGTTACTCTGAGCCACTGAAAGCACATGCTCTGCTCTGCAATTTCCAGCGAGCAAATACAGTATAGTTTTTAGTGGAAACACTATATCAAAAGGTCATTTTTTGACATTGATGTGAGCAATGTTTATTTAAGTTGACCTGACATTGACGATAGATTTAGCAGGAGGGCATAGGCAGATAGATTCACAGAGAAGGACTGTCAGAGGCCTTTTTCTAATAGACAAAATCAAACAAACTACTGAAAAAGACTCCCCCCCCCCTTTACAGAATCTGTGTAGGAAGAGCACACCTTGGGAATGCAGCATTCGTCAACAGATATATTATTAACCATGTTGATTTAGCATCATCAAAATGACATTACACCGAGTAGAGCAACTGGGCTTCTCGTTCCCATCTCTGAGCACACGAGAGAGAGAGAGAGAGAGTAATTGAGAGAGAGAGAGAGAGAGAGAGAGAGAGACAGAGAGCGAGAGAGAGAGAGAAAGAGAGAGAGAGAGAGAGAGAGA